AAAAGTAAATTTAATTGGCCTTTAGATACATTAATATTTTCTGAATAAAATTGAGCTAAATATTATTTTTTGCAATATCAAAATTTAATATATCCTCAGAACAGAGATAATAGTATTTGTAAATTGGATAGTAATTTTGATGAATAGCAAATCGTTCATTGATGTAAAAATGAATTCAAAAGTGGAAAAAACGGTTAATTTTAAGGCTGTGCCGATTCAGAAATTTTTTATCGATTCGATCTGATACTACTATAAAACCGATGAGATATTTTTATGTAGTGTTGCGAAATGGCTGGTTTTAATCGATTTTTAAAAACGGCGAAATCGAGGAGTTTAGCATCACTACACTCAACTAAACATTGCCAATATATTAAATGAGAAGATTAACTTTTGGAGAGTAAAAAAACAAGATACATTTAATCATTAAAATTAATTGGTTCTTTTAATTAAAGAATATTGATTATTTTATGACAATTGAAATAAATATCAGATCGATTTAAAAAAATAGAATACAGGATAGGTGAAAAATATGTGGAACGTCACAAATTAATATATAATTATGAAATTATGTATAAAATAAAAAATATAATATATTTATATATATACAAACATAAAATACTCAAAAACAAAATATCGGATCGATTTTTTAAATTCATTATTTTTTAAAAATGTTAAATATCGGATAGGATTAGTTTTAAAAAATATATAGGGCGTATTTTTCAAAAATGCTAAATATCAGAATTGCCTTAGTTATTTTATAATAATCCTCAATTGATTCCAGGTTAATATTTGAATGATTTGTTTGTCACGGTGCAAGACGAAACTTGGGAATCTCAAAATCATATAAATTTAGTGCTGTAAACTTTTCTAAAAAAATCGAACGCGTTCACGTTCAAGTTTATGTTCAAAAAAAAGGAACACGTTCACGTTCATAAAACCGTTCAAAATTTTATGATAAATTTTTTTTTAAATAAATTTAATATAAATAAACTTATATTTTTTAATACAATATATTTTAGCCATGTTAAAAAATAATATAGTTTTATTTTGTAATATAATTATAAATAAAATATAATAATATAATATAATATAGCGAATAAAAAGATATTTTTATTTATAAAAAATTTTTCTTATTAAATTTTAATAACAATTGTTTTCAAAATATTTATCTGATAGACAGGAACACTTGCCAGTTAATACGACATTAGCCTAAAAACACGCTCTACAGGGGCAGATGAGGGGATTGCGGTATTATACTTAATAAACAGTTCTTTTTACGTGGAGAATTAATTTAAAACATATTGTTTTGTTATTTGCAAAAAAATTGAGAAAAGTTATCATCCTCCAATCCATTCTCTACTCTCGACAAAAAAAAGGATATCTCGAAATTAACAGTTCTCTAGGGTTTTCAAAGCATTTTTTTTCAATAATGCTATAAGTTTATTTTTAATAGATTCGTTCTGTGGAAGCTTTATCCATGGCCATTGAATTTTGAATGCTGGATGTATAATTGCAGAAAGAACATATTGATCCTTATATATATGTTCAAATCTTTAAAAAAATAAAATATATGTAATAATTGAGAGTGATGGGTTTAATATCTTTTATTAATCCCATTTAATACGGCGTCTATCAATGGTTAACCATATTTGAGGCCACTAATTTTTTTAATTTTAAAATAACTATCGCTATTGTTGGGGTCAAATATCCCAAATGCATTATTTCAAATTTAATGATTTAGCTTAGTTATATCATATAAAATCAAATAAATAATATTAAAATCAAATGTCGTTTTAAATTGGAACCTGAAGATTTTGACAATATAATACTTTTTGGCCACATTTTACACTTGGTAAGCATTGGATTAGTTCCTTCAATATAGGATGTTAATGTAAAACATTTTCATATTCGGCCATAGTAATGATGATACATCTGATTTTGGATTTTCAGAATCAGATGATGAGGATTAAATAATAATATCCATGCTTATGCTAATCTATTAAATTAAAATATAAACGATAATATTCAAATTAATAAACTATGTGTTAAAAAAATTGAAATGTGAAAAGGAAATACACAGCCGATTAAAAAGTATAAATAATACATTTTTAAAAAAAATTCGGAAATATTAAATTTTTCAAATAAATAAAAATAAAAATATTTTTAAAATTGAACGAACGTTAAATTCGAACGCGTTCGTCATAAAAAAGGAACGCGTTCACGTTCAAAGTTCGTCAAAAATAAAAGGAACGCCGTTCATCATTTTTTTCAAAAACACGAACTTCATTATATAAATTCGCTTTCACTTTAACAATCATAGAAATTTCGTAAAATTTTTGGTCGATATTATCTCTTATTTTTCTAAGTTGTAATATAATAATATTAACGATTCTTATAACTTCAGCCAAATCCATAAAATTTTTCGAAAAATATTACATAAATTAAATAATTTATTAACCCATCCCATTGCAATAAAAATTGGCTGTCATATTCAATCTAGTAATATATCAGCTTCAGGCAAAATATCTGGTTCAGTCCATTCTGATATTTCTCCAAGAGCACTCAAAATAGGCTCTTATAGATCCTAAAATGCTGTAATAGTCTGATGTCGAAGGATCCATCTTGTTGGGTATGCTTATTGCAGTTTATTTATATTAATAGCACAACTATTCAGCAAATTCTTTCTTTTTTGGATAATGGAACATTTCGAACACTCTAGAAATTTTGCCTAATCATAATTACTAAGAGATAAATTAAATGATAAAATTTCCTTATATCCATCAGCATTTAAATTATAAAAAATGTAAGAAAATATACTATAAATTTTTGCAAGGAAAAACTTTAATATAAAAAGTATTTAAAACAGAATATAACCTTTTTGAAATAGAACACTTTGCAATCCACAATTCATGAAACCTTTTATATTTTTTCAATGAATTTTACTATGGAGGGGGGGGGGGAGGGGGTTGCTAAAAGTCAGGGATCCAAACCGAAACGAATATTGGTTCGGGTTCAGGTTCAGGTTCTGATAAAAATAATGGTTCACGCTTCAGGTTCGGTTCGTAAAAAATCTAAATATCGGTTCGGTTTGAACCTCTAAAAACCGGTTTGAACGTTTTTGTATTCAAACCTACATTCGACTTATGTATAGGGAAAAAAAATTTTTATTTCATAACTAAAATAAAAGAACATACAAAAAACCTTCATTTTTATTAATTTCACATTATAAAATAACATTTAATTTATAAATATACAAATAAATATCAATGATTAATTTTAATATGAACAATTACATAAATTTTTTTTATTAAGCCGCACAATTAATATATTTTCAAAATTCATCTCACTCAAATTACATCTATAAGGAGATGATATAAATTTAATTGTTAAAAAACATCTTTCCACACTAACTTAGGTAGCCGACACTGCCAATATGATATCAGATTTGATGTGTCATTTATAATAATATTTTGGATTTAATTTTTCTCTAAGCATTATAATTTATAAGCTTAAAATATTTAAAAAATGTTATAAAATGACAATATACTAAAGTTTATAAAAATTATGACCGACACTTATCAATCAAATGTGATTGATGCTAATCTTTAAAATAATTTAAAACTTGCATATTATTTTATAATAAAATCATGAGGCTTGAACCGGTTCAGAGGCATTTTAGCGATTCGGTTCAGGTAGAAATTTTTTAGCGGTTTAGGTTTGGTTCGATAAAAATACCGGTTTTTATGGTTTAATGGTTCGGTTTGGATCCCTGCTAAAGGTACTTTACCAAGGATGAGAAAATTGATTAGAAAGATTCTAACAATTCCTGCAATGTCCACAACTGAAAATTATCAAAGACTGGAAGGCTAGAAGAAATAGTCTGAAACCTGAAAATGAATATGCTTTAATCATTCCAAATTATTATAAATATGAAGCTAATTTTTTTATTATGTATATAATTTAATATATTATTATTTGTTTGGTTATAGCAATTTGTTTATGATGTAGCAATATATTTAATTGAACCCCAAATAAATTATTTTATTGAAGCTGATATTTGGTAATAATGTCTAATATCTATTATATAATAGTGATGCAAAATCACTCCATATGAGCCAATTTTTTAAAAAAGTTAACTCAATATTTTAGTACCTAAGTATAAAGATTTTGCTAATAGATGTTTAAACCTTTTTGCCATCTATTGGCAAAATATTTAGGCCTGTGTAATCTTTTTTTTAGAATACTGAATTAGCCATTTTTAAAAATCGCTTAGCTTTATAAAATTAAAACAATGGTAATAGAAATTATTTTTTAATATTAAAATAGATTTGGGTGAAGCAAACAAATAATTACTTATTTGAGTTGGGGAAAAAAAGATAGGGTGGGCTAGATAAATTTTAAAAATATTTTCAGCCAAACCAGGCTTAAAAAATTAGGCCTGATGAAGATTGCTTGCATGTGGCAAATATTTAAAAAGTGGTTGGATGAACTGGCTCATCCCAATGCTGAAGTTTTGTCATCGATACACAATTATTTAATCATGATTCTTATTCCAACCAAATGCATTTAATATATTTTTTTAAAGTATTTTTGTCTATTACAATATTTGAGTTTTTCATTAAATTTTTGTATGACTTTTTTATAATCAGTTCTTATGAATTTATATTAAATTTTAAATGTTCAAAAATCACAGATTTTTAAAATAATGAGGATATTTTAATACCCCCTCTCCTATAATGAACAAATCTCATAGCCAAACACCATCTTATTGTGGCTAATATATTATCATCAGTATAGAAGGTTTAAGAAATTTGTTTAAACAAAAATATGGTTAAGTCTTTAAATCTTATATTTTAGTTTTAAAAATGAAAATAAGAAACCTTATAAAATTATTGGTCCCAACAAAATATTCTCTAATATAGTTTTCACATAAAATAAGTGAGTTTTAAATAAAGTTATCTAAAATGAGAATGTAAACTTCTAAAGTGTTAGGAAATAACCTTGTAAAAATGGTCCACGGGTCTCAGAATGAGATGCTATACATTGCATTAGTGCTAATGCATTGCAAACTCTGTTTGACTGTTGAGCCTATTTGTTTCACATTAAAAAATAATTGCAAAATGATAATTTACGGTTAAATTTGGCGGAGCTAAAGATGGATATAAATTAACAACCTCTTGTAATAAAGCAGCCACAGTTCCAAATGAATGCCATAATAAAGGAGCCAGATCAGGTAAGGATTCTCTTCGTTTACTAATTTAAAACATGAACGCAGAATGCTTATAAATTAACCTTAATTCAAGAAGAGCTGTTTCCCTTGTATCTGGATTACATAAATCATTAATCCATTGGCAAACTTTATCTCTATCGATACTTTGCAATTGCATATTATTTGAAAAACTGCGGACACAAAGCGATTGAATCACATATGAATTTTCCCAATATTAATGCGTAAGCTCGAATATTCACTCTGAAACAGCTGATTTAACGAGTTACAAAAGCAAATTAACCTAATTGAATGTGTCTAAGTCTGTATCAGCAATGGCATATATCAGGGACCTGCCAAAGCTCTCCCTGTGCATATAAGCCAAGCTTGAAGTGTTCAATTTTAATATAAATTTGCTTTCTCGGCTGTTGCACGCTTATTTCAGTCTGGAAATTTAAAATTGACCATATATGAGACGATTATAATATTTTAATTCAAAAAGTAGCCCGCTTTCAAAATGATTGAAAAATTGTCTTTGATTGCTATCTATATATTAAATTAGACAATGAAATATTAATAAACTCGATTAATTTATATAATAAAATTATTTATAAACGTTAATTTCATGTTCCTTTTTTATATTGATATTATATTTATTTGGACGTTGCTCTTCTTTATTTTTATCGACATATATAAATTGAATGTTGGAAGCCTCCTTTTCTAGGAGTCAACCTAACTTTTTAATCCATTTTACATATAATTTTTTATTTTTTTGTTTATAATTTGATTACTAACATTTATAATATATTTATATTATCATAACATGTTTTTTAATTCTAAGATAATATAGTAAAAATAAATTCCTTTAATATAAGGGCATTAATTGTTTTTAGATATCAATGATATTAATAACAGCTATAGATTGGCGATTCATGCATAAGAACATCCTCACATTGATATCAGCTGTAGCGCCATTTTGTAGCTTGTACTTTGATCAAATGACTCAATAATAATGAATATTTTTAAAAATTTAGCAATTTTATATTTATATTGCTATATCAAGAAGATAATAAATTTGTAACAATGGATACATTATAATAATTTAATGGAAGGCGCAACTTAAACAATTAATTTTTTATTTTATTCTTTATTAACACTAAAATATTTAACATTTTGTGCTCTATATATATACATTTTAAATTTACATTTTTACATATTAAAATAATAAGTTTTTTAAAAGGTTATATAAAAAAAGAAATTCGACAAGGTCTTCCTTATATTTTATAAAAAGTATAAGAAAGAATTCGAAAAGGTCATTTAATTTAAAAAGAAAATATAAAAAGTTTTGTCATTCAAAATTTATATAATAACACATTATCTATATTATAATTTTCCGATGTCCTCACTACGTCATCGTGACATCATGTCATCGCTACGTATTTATTTTTGTTTTTTTTTATTTGTTGATTTTATTTATTTATTTTATACAAACAGAACAGATGAATGGAATTTCGAGAATTGATGGTGTACACATACCGAACATGGATTGAGAGTTAGAAAAATCGTCTTTGAATTGATAAAAACAATATTCCCTCAACTTTGTAAATATGAATGAAAATTTTTATTTCACATAATCCTTTCTTTATTTTTTAGATTACCTTATCAATTTTCATCTCATATTATCAATTACACATTAATGAAATCTCTACAAGATACTCAACTTGTATATATATATTTTGAACATACTCACAATTTTTGTCAGTACTTACATTACAATTTTTTATACTCATATTTTTCTTTCATAACCAATAATTAAGAAGATAACCAATTATATTCAAATATTTAAATATTCTTATCCTAACCTATTTATAATCTCCAATCCTTATAAATAACTCTTTCTTTATTTTTTTTCCCCTACCTTAATGAATTTATTTACCACTAAATTTTATTATCTCATTCTTTTCTTTCTATCTCTATTATCTATTAATCACTATTTCTCAAAATCTTATCAATTCCTTTAATTTAATTTTTATTATTTTTATAATATAATAATTTATACCTTCTTTTTTCCCCCTTTTTTAATCTTATTTTTTAATTACCTTACAATTAATTAACCTTAATCTTAATAACATTACATTCATCATGTTATTTTTTAACTTTTAGAATATCATAATAGGCTTGATAAGTCCCCCAAAAAATTTTTTTGATGATAGCCCTCCAACTACTAGAAATATTCATCTAATATTGACCCATCTACCGGTTTTACATTATTTTAATGTTTGTTTAATTTCAACAATAGTTTATTTATATTTTTGCCTGATTTCTTTGTTTGTCTAAGGCTAACCATAATCCCCCACATTGCTACAAAACATGATGAATCTATTATCAATGATAAGCAAAGAAAATAATGACGATTAAACAAACGCCTTACCCGTTCTAGAATTACTGGTAGACAAAATAATAAAGAACTACGCTTGAAATGAACTCATCTGGAGGTTTATTTTGTTTTTTTATCTTATGTTTTATATCTATCTTTATTTTATTTTCACCCAGTTCTCCAAATTATACTATCACCACTACCACAATCCCTATGCCTCCGCCTATTTTTTAACAAATATAAACATTTATATCTGTACTATCATTCACTTCACTAGGAGTTAATATAAATATTACTTTATCCGATTCTTTGAGAAACATTCATGAATATTTAGAGCTTGAATGCACAGTACGGCCAATTTCATCAACTTTATTAATGGAAAAATATGCAGTAGTTCTGTCGTGGCCTTTAAAACAATACTTACAACCGCTTTATGGTTGAGTTAACATTGTCGTTCATGATTCTATTTTAGAAGGGGGTACCAATGCTGACATTGAAATGTACAGTACGGCCAATTTCATCAACTTTATTAATGGAAATATATGCAGTAGTTCTGTCATGGCCTTTATAACAATACTTACGACCGTTTTATGGTTGAGTTAACATTGTCGTTCATGATTCTATTTTAGAGGGGGATACCAATGCTGACATTGACAGAAATATCGTTTTGTGTTCTTCTTTTACCAGTATCCCAAGGCATAAGCATATCATCTTTATCAAGACGTAATGTGTTTTGTACACTGCTTTGTTAATCCGTCATCACTTTCATCTACAAACCTAAATAATATAGAATTATACATTAATTATTTCTTCTCCAGACGACCGTCCAGATTTATTTTGTCACTTTTTCCATCAAAAATTAAAATGTCAACATAGATTTGCTCTTAATTTTATCAAATACATAATAAATAATCCTCATTATTTTTAAAAAAAATTATCCTAAATTTATATGTCAATAAAAAATATATCTTAAAAAATATATAAATAATTTGCATATATGTTTCATTAGTGTTTAATGGCATTTTTGTAATTTAAATAGACAGCATTTTTTATTTACTTAACATAAAAATATATATATCCCTTATCAAATTCTTTGACAAATAATTTCAGAAATGCAAGACATACATTAAATTTATCTGAAAAACAACAATAACCTTATATAATAAACAACATATTTTTTAGATATAATTTTAATTGATCATATTACAAAAAGTATAAGAGTCAGTTATTTTAATTTTATTTGTCATGATTCTCTAATAAGTGGTTGCCCAGGCCTTCCCAGTTTCCCTTAATACGGAATTGACATTTTTTTCCATATTAGACTAATTGGTAAATCAGATATTTCCCGTTCATGTGATGATATTAAAAATTTAACTATCTCCGAGGCGGGAAAAAATTTTCAAAATTATAATGGGTAGGACTGGGCTTGGAACCTCAAAATTAATATTAGCTTGCACCTGACTTGGGAATATCTTTTACAAATTATCAAGGGTTGAGCTGGGCTTGATAAACTTTTTTTAAATTATAAGATTTTGGATGCTTCATAATATTGTGAGCTTAAACCTGGCATGACATCTATAAAAATGAATAAAAATCTCATTCCCCGTCATTTTTGACGGGCTTTCTACTAGTAATAATTAGTTAATAATGTAATTAAGTAAAATAATCAACTGAATACTAACACATAAACTGATGATTTTATCAAGTTCTTCAATTAAAATTTACTGATAATCTCTAAAATAAAACTTCAAGATTATTCCAACAGTACTACATTATATCATTAATCGCCAATAAATTATCTAAAAAGACATATATTCTCCATAATACCACCCATCCAGTGGCGTAGCTACGGGGGTGGTTTTCGGGTTTGGACCCCTCCCAGAGCAAATTTTTTTTAGATTATACGTTCAAAAGACTTAAAAGTGACTTTGTATCAAATAAATACCATTAATATTTATATTTTTCTGGTTTTGATGTTTGTGAAAGGATATTATATTACTATTGAATTTATTCTGGGTAGTATTATTATAAAGTCATTGAGAATAATCTACTAAATTATAATAACATTATCTACTAATTTATAATAACATTATCTACTAAATTATAATAACATTATCTACTAAATTATAATAACATTATCTACTAAATTATAATAACATTATCTACTAAATTATAATAACATTATCTACTAAATTATAATAACATTATCTACTAAATTATAATAACATTATCTACTAAATTATAATAACATTATCTACTAAATTATAATAACATTATCTACTAAATTATAATAACATTATCTACTAAATTATAATAACATTATCTACTAAATTATAATAACATTATCCACTAAATTATAATAACATTATTCATGCATTTAAAAATATTTATATATATTGTCGAAGATGTGGTTATAATTTTTAAGATAAACCCGGCCGAAGGCCGGGCAAAAGGGCCAACCCAGGATTTTATATGTATGGACCCCCTCTAAGGAAAATTCCTAGCTACGCCACTGCACCCATCATACAAAAATCACCAAAATTATACCCATACAAAATATTCCATACTTATATTTATTACACCCTCAAATATTTAACCAAATAATGTCACTGCCTATATATATAATTGCAAGAAACTTATCCAGATTCCTTTGACACAATCAAGAAATAATTATTATTATAAAAATACTTCTTTCAATCAAATAAAGTTTTAAGTTAACTTGCATACTTGATTAGTATTATTATATAAAAATAAATTTATAATTAGTTTATAATTTATATTTAATTCATATATTTTTGATATAATTCTATATTAATTAAATATAAAAAATAATAAATATCAAAAGATATACTTGTGATAAGAAATATATTCTATTTTATTATAATTA